GAGAGAGAGAGAGAGAGAGAGAGAGAGAGAGAGAGAGAGAGAGAGAGAGAGAGGTGTGGGTTGGGAGGGAGAGGCTGGAGGGGCAGGAAGAGGGAAGGGGGGATCTTTGATTGATATGTAAAATGAGTAAAAAATTTTCTTAGTAAAAAAATTAAAAGAAAAAGAAGTCAGTTTCTATAGAAAAAAAAAGAAGAGAAAAAAGGGCTGATTGAGAAGAGGGGGAATCAACAGAAATGTGAAAGGGGCAGGAGGGAAATAGGTAAATATGACCAAAATATTTTGTACAGAGGTACACAAATGTCACAATGAAACCCATTATGATATACAATTAATATATGCAAATAAAACCACAGGTCCAACCAGTGCCACCTGGCCGGAGTGACGGGTAAGAAGCAAAGGGCAAGCAAGCTACTGTGACCAGTAAAAACTGAAGTGGCCCATCCTACCGCCAGGCTGTACTGCTACCTTTACACCATCATTTCTCCATGACTTCCGTGTTTGGTTTGTCCCCATTCATTTTATTATTTTCCAAATTTTCATCCATTTCCTATAGGCATATTCAGGTTTACCTCTATCACCAAGCCTATAGGGGCTGGGTCTTACTTAGACTTATTCTCAACCCTAGAAACACTGTGGTGGAATGATTGTGTAAACTGTGGGAAAACACTATGTAAGAAGGAACTGATGTGAATAAAAATCACAAAACAGAAATGAACAATAACAAAACAGAAATGAACAATAACATAACACTATGTATCCATATATATACATACATATATATAGCACATATATATAATATACTCACATATACACAAAGCATGGATCAGTTATATGTACAAACATAGTTTGTTATTAAGATGACCTGAGGTGACTGTCATTAAACTTAGCTCCATTAATCACTATTATTTCCATCTCAAGCCATTTCTCCTTACTAAATAAGGAAGACAATAGTTCATGTCTTTTTTATTTTGAAACAGTAAGACATTTAACTTAAGGTTGGGAAGGGAGGTGATCAAAAGCCTTGGAATGTTCTGAAAGGGTAGAAGAAGGTTCTGCAAGCTGGTGGGGAGGAACAGGGCATGCCATTCTCCTGAGTTAACTCAGGATGAAGTCAACCGCCTGTGTCTTCCTCAAAATACTTCACACTGTCCTTAGCTCTCATCAACTGCCTACCTTTATCATCTACCATCTTGAGTTTCTCCCTTGAATTTAAGCATTTTCCCGACACCCAAACCAACTGAACTCCAGTGACCGTATCTCTGAGTAACCATGCACTGCTGAATGCAAGTTACCGGCCATCCCATAGTGGTCCTGAAACACTCAACTCGTTCCCCCTGAGATTAGGAACACTTGGTCAAGCAGTTCCAAGGAAACTTGATTTCACTGTTAGAATTCTCCCTAAATGCCCAGTACCTTACACTGAGATGATTCTCTTGGTGGGTAGAATATACTTTAAAACCAAGGAAAGCTGTATTTTCTTTATATGTGCTAGCCCAGCTTCTCACATGATCCTTCTGGAGTTAGACACAACAGAGTTTTCAATAAATAAGCAAGTGGGTGACCCATCAAAAACCAACTGCGAAAGAGAGTATACAAATTGTACTATTGACGCCTACGTTTTTCAATGGAAATAGGGTTGTTAAAGTTGAGGGAGGAATGATAATCTATGGTTGGGCCAGAAATTTGCTCTTCCACACAAATACATGCACAGACCCAAGCAAGCATCATCAGTCTGGAACTAGCCTACTGCTCCAATCTCCAAGGTTCTGTCTTATACCTATGTTGTTCAACCTCCTAACAGTAAGTTAGGAACTAACACATGCCACCAAACCCTGTGGGATCCTCTCCATTGTAATGTTCATCTCATTAATTGTCAGGGCACAGTTTGGTTAAATCTCCTTGAGAAAAAACATACTCCTCTCCTACATAACCCGAGCCCTCCAACTTCATCTTTCATTGCCCTCAATTTTAATGGCACACCGTCAATGTTAACTTCAAGCATTCATTTTTCCTAACTGTCCAGAAACATTCAGTATTTATTTCGCCCAAATAAACATCTTGTACAATAAATCCATTGCCAATTCACAATAGTTTCTTATACCTGATGAATGTTCAATAAAGGTTTTGTTTTTTTTTTTAATCTAGCCTAATAATTAAAACCATGAGAATTTTCAAACCACACCATTAGATTCTACTGATTTTTATATTAGGATCTCTGACTGCAAAATGTCTACAAATAATATTGTCACTGGGAGAGTAGCTAGCAGAAACCAAAGCATGATTAAAACGTTCAATCTATTAGAAAGCAGTTTAAGAACGTTTTACACAGAAGTTATTTCAAGGATGTTTATGTTTCACTGCTTGCCAGCTTTCTAGCTAAGATCAACATTCATGTTCCTAGGATTTTATTGTCAAATGGTAGCACCAAGCATCCTAAGAGAAACCTGTAATTGCTCAATCACAGACACTTCTCAGTATTGATGCTGTAAAAGTCACTGTTAGCTGTCACACTGACGGACACCTGGGAAGGCCAGTCAACCCTTTATTGAACAATATAAGAAGGCATCAATCATTAATAAGATGGCATAATGCAGAGTGTTTCCATTCCACAGCACTAAAAATGAGTCACAATTAGAAATGACCTTGACGGAGAAGGAGAAGAAAATAACAAAAAGCAGGGTAAGGTCACCATCACACAGTAATTAAGAAGACAGAAGAGACCTTTCGAAGTCACTAAACTCCCCGATATTATACTGAACTCTGGCACTGGGCATTTTCTTGTGCCGTTAAGAGAATTTAGTAGGTTCATTGGATTGACTGATTTCTTTGTTAACCTATCTGCATGGGTTAAGACCCTGATTGACATAAAACACAACCCAAAAAATGCCAGACAGAGAGTGCAATGAAAGACTGACTGATGTATGCTTTGGGGTACAGCCTATCCAATAAATGTGCCTGGCCAGCAAAGAACCCATTGGCAAAGATTTATTATCGGAACAAATAGATTCTAAAAAGCCTGACTACAATCGAACCTGCAGTAGAAATTCACACGTAAATACAATTCTTTGCCCTATGTAGCTCATTTCGTTTACTTTTTAGATTCTTTTCCTAAGTTTCCTTTTAGAATAATTAACAAGTAAAAGCAATGATACAGCATTTGTTGTCTTTAAAGTGTAGTCCTTTCATTTACACAAAAGAAAGCGAAGTTTATACTACTTATAACTCTAGGATAACTGCTAATCCATTTGTAAAGGGATGGAAGTATTACTATAAAATACATCATTAAGAAAAAAATGAAAATCAATCACCTGGAACAAATTGTCACATTTTAATTACATGTAATACATGAACAGCAAACTTGTAAAGTCAAGGGCAGATGTAGAGAGGATTGTAAAAGTTATACCTCCAAGTTCTTTTACATTCAAGATGGCATTCTGGAATGGCACTGCCTTTATACTAAAACCTAAAATTAGAAAACAGAAAGAGAAGAATTAGCAACTCGACTTTTACATTGAGACACTTAAGATGGTCAGATCCTGTGTTTGGAGAAAACTGAAGCTTGCTCTCCATAGCTCATATTTAGACTAGAAACATCATTCCTAAGACAAAATAGCCTTATGTTATCTTCCACTGTTTTGAAACATCACTGAATATTATAGTCAAATATAACACTATCTATCCCCTTCCCTTCCAAATATTGCCCTCTTCTTTAGCATATAATGATTATGCAAATTTTTAGCAGGTAGAAGAGACAGCCAGAAAATATAAGAAATTTCAAAGAAAATATTGAATCTAGTTCTTAATATATTACACTTTTTTCTTATATATAGAAACTAGTAATTAAAACACTTAAATACCTTATATTTGAATTTTCTTGTATTTGTTAGTATTTCATCTGGGGACCCAATAATATATACTTAACTTACATTTTTCTTTAAAAGTAAAACTATAAATAATCATTCATACTGAAGTAAGTTTTACAAAGCATGTCATAAAACACTGATAATGTTTAGAGATTATAGTTCTGCCTCTAATAATATACTCAGGGCTTCACTACTCATGCTGAAGGCAATCAATTTAGATGGAATACATAAGAAAGTACGTATATGGGTGCACACGGACGCACACGTGTGAGCACACACGTGCAAACACTGGATATTTCTGAAATGAGTCCTGAGAAACTAGACTAGCAATGGCTTGAGAGAGCACTGGAGACCTGGAGCCTGCAACAGACTCTTGTTTCAACTGAGTGCCTTTGCCATGTGCTTGTTTTCTTGTTCTACTGAAACTCCTTGTGGTGATATCTTGTTTGTACTCTTAACAAATAAAGCTTGCCTGAAGATTGGAGGACAGAGCCAGCCACAGAGTTAGCCATAGAGGTCAGGCAGCGGTGGCACACACCTTTAATCCTAGCACTCAGGAGGCAGAGGCAGAGATCTGTCTGGATTTCTGTGAGTTCAAGGCCACCCTGGACGACAGGAGATCAATCCCGTCTAAAAGAGAAACAGAGCCAGGCAGTGGTGACACACACCTTTAAATCCAGCACTTGGGATCACACACCTTTAATCCCAGCACTAGAAAGGTTGAGACAGGAAGTGATATGGCTGGGCAGAGAAAGGAATGTAAGGTGGGTGGAGACAGGAACTCGCTCTCTTTCAGGCTGAGGAGTTGGTGAGGTAAGAGGTGGCTGCTGTGGCATGCTCTGCTTCTCTGATCTTTCAGCTTTCACCCTGATATCTGGCTCCAGGTTTTTATTAAGACCAATTCGGATTCGGGCAGCAACTCGCACTAATTTTTTAAAGCTAATTTTTTCAGTAGTTTTAGGATCCAGTTTTAACATGAGCAATTACAAAGAAGTAGTTATTTTTCCACAAAATTACCAGTAAAGAAAGAAAAACATACAAGTATTTTTCACTTAAAATGCCATGATTGATGATGGAGGAAGTGAAAAGCTCCGAGAGACGTACTGTAGGTAAGAACAATTACACTGCTTTGCCTTCTTTTTAGCCCGGCCTCTTCCGTATGCTTTCTCTCCATGTTCTCCCAGCACTTTGATAAGCTATAAATTACATCCCATTTATTATAATTATTATCATCTCATATATTATATCCTCTTCCTCTCTCCCCTTTCTCTCCTTCCACCTCCCCTCTCCCTCCAGATCATCCTCCCCTCTGTCTCCCCTCAGAAACAAGCAGATCTCCCATGGACATCAACCAAACACAGCATAACAACCTACAATAAGATGAGGCATGTACCACCACATCAAGGCTGGACCAGGAGAAAAAAAGGTCCCACAAGCAGGCAAAAGAGTTAGAGACAGCCCCTGCTCCCTGTTAGGAATCCCACCAGAACACTACTCAGCCATAACACAGATGCAGAGGACCTAGATCAGGCCCCTACAGGATCCCTGATGCCTGCAAGCCCTCATGAGTCCCAGCCAATTGATTCTGTGAGCCATGTTCTCTTGGTGTCCCTGACCCCTCTACTTCCTTTAAGCCACCCACCCCCACCCCCACCCCGCCGTGGGAGAACTCTCCGAGCTCCCGCTAATGTTTGGCTGTGGGACTCCACATCTGCTCCCATCAGTTGCTGAATAAAGTCTCTCTGATCTCTTTGATGACAATTCTGCTAGGCTCTGCTCCCAGAACACTCTGCAGACAAAGCTGTAGGTTTTGTGGCTGGGTTGATGTCCCAATCCCTCTACTTGGGGCCTTGCCTAGTTACAGAAGATGGCCAGTTCAGGCTCTGTGTTCCCCGTTACTAAAAGTCTTTGCTAAGGTTGCTCTTGTGGATTCCATGGGGTTTCCATTGCACTGGAGCTCCACCTTGCATCCCCGCCATGGCTACCAATTCCATTGTTTCTCCCAGTTTCCCTCACCACTTGATCCCTTTTGTTTCCATATCCCACACCCCAGTCCACTGGTGAGATCTATTCTATTTCCCCTTCCCAGGGAGATCCTTGCATCCCCCCTCCTTGTTACTGAGCTCCTCTGGGTCTGTGGACCATAGCATGACTATCTTTTACTGTAATATCCACTTATAAGTGAGTACATCATGTTTGCTTTCAGGGTCTGGGTTACCTCACTCAAGGTGATTTTTTTTCACATTCCATCCATTTGCCTGCAAATTTCATGATGTTATTGCTTTTAACAGCTGAGTAATATTCTATTGTGTAAATATACCACATTTTCTTTATACATCTTTTGGTTGAGGGACATCTAGGTTGTTTCCAGATTCTGGCTATTACAAGTAATGCTGTTATGAGCATATTTGAGCAAGTGTCCTTGTGGTACTTAATGCTGAACATCCTTTGGGTACATGCCCAGGAGTGGTATAGCTGGATCTTGAGGTAGATTGATTCCCAATTATCTGAGGTACCGCCATATTGATTTCCAAAGTGGCTGTAGCAGTTTTCACTCCCAACCAGCAATGGAGGGGTGTTCCCCTTACTCCACATCCTCGCCAACATGCTTGTTTTTTTTTGATCTTTGTCATTCTTACACTCCAGTTTTAAGGCAGCATTTGATAATGGTTGAAGAACTGACTTTGGAATCAGACAGAACTAGACTTACATTCCAGCTCTTCCAGTGCAGGCAACTTACTAGCCTTAGTGTTCTTAGTGTTCTCATTTGTAAAGTGGGAATGGTGGCATCTACTTCACAGCCTTGGCACGATATAGGTACTGGTCTATTACAGGTAAAGGTGCAGAAAGTCGCTGAATCTTTATGAGAGAGAGAGAGAGAGAGAGAGAGAGAGAGAGAGAGAGAGAGAGAGAGAGAGAGAGAAACCCCTGTGCTGGCATACTGGTGTGTACCTGGGCCTGCAGCAAAGCCTCTCCAGGTGTCTGGCCTCTGGGGAATCAGGGACAGTTGGTGCCAATCACAATACTCCTACAGGCACCGAAATTCCCCTGCAGGAGATCTGGATGCTTGAATATCTCTACCTACCTCACATGGATATTGTCTGGATTAAACGGCAATGATTGCGAAATCCTGGCAACAAACGGCCCCTACAGATGCTAAACAGTCTATTAGTGGTTATGTTTAAGACAACTCTGGAGAATGGATTTTCCAGAGAGGCAGGGCAGGTCCAAACTTTGATAAAGAAAGTTATGGAGCACACCAGTAATGTTTAATTGGCTTTGATTCTTAAAAGTTGACAACAGGCAAGGACTCAAAAGAGAACCAATATTCTTCCAGAAATGGCCACAGCCATATGCAAAATGCAACTTTAGACATGTATTAATGGAATAGGCAGGTAGTGTGATTGTTACTATCTTTAATTCTTTGCAGATCCTCATAATAAATGAACTACAAAAAAATCAACTGTTCACGTTAAGTAACCAAGTAATCTTATTTATAGGCATATAAATGTTTCTGCAGAATACTCATAAATGCTTTCTCCCAGAATGAACACATGTAGCTAGATTTACACTGCAAATATATTCATGGTCTCCCATATTATTCTTATATTCATCTACAGTAATTGCTGCTCAGAAAACGAAGTCTAGATCATCAATTCAAAAAACAAGAAAATGAACTTTTCACGGAAGAGAAAGAGTATTTCTCTATTTCGGTAATTCTAAATATTTGCCAAGACTAAGCAGGAGAACTAAAAGGGTAAAGGAACATTTTCAGTTCACAGACGTCCAATCAAGAAGAAATGAAACACCACACTATATGTTATTTCTGTTTACAGTGTGTTGGATGAGATGAAGAGTTAACAAAATCAATAGGGTAAAAAATAAAAAAATTAAAAAAAAGTCAAACCACCAAAAACTGTCCAGGGATTGCTTTAAAAAATGAAAGCATGGGCTACAGAGTCTAAAAGTCTGGGTTCAAATCTTGGCTCCATCCATTACTAGTTGTTTGATTTTAGCAGGGAGGAAGCATTGTCTGAGTTTTAAAAAGTGCATGTTCCTCCAGATTCCAATGCTGCTAAGGATCTTTACCCATTACCTACTTTACCTGCTGTGGTAACCCCAATGGCACCATCAGTACACTGTCCCAAGGGGAAAATGAAGCAAAGTGCTACATGGAATACGTGAACCTAGATCTTGCCACTAAAGCCCTATAGTGAGTGCTTCGACTCCTGCAGGTTCCAGGGAGCAGGTAGATTTACACTGATGTGTTTACTACTGAGCTAGGGATGCTGGCTCTGACTGGGCAACATGTGTGACTAATAAACCCACACATTTATTTTCCTTTGTGTCTATTAATAATTTGACATGAGCCACCCAAATTAATTTCTCAAAGTTAAACAACATTGGTTTTTTGTTTTGTTTTGTTTTTGTTTTTTTGTTGTTTTTGTTTTGTTTTGTTTTGTTTTGAGACAGGGTTTCTCTGTGTAGCTTTGTGCCTGTCCTGGAACTCACTCTGTAGCCCAGGCTGGCCTCAAACTCACAGAGATCCGCCTGCCTCTAGCTCCCAAGTGCTGGGATTAAAGGCATGCGCCACTACTGC